ACCCCTCCTCCCTCCCCAACCATTCCTACATTCCATCCTTACCCATCCTTCTTCCTCCCATCTTACCAAAGCTCTGGTCAGAACCTCGAACCTTAACGCCTCCGTATCGGTAATCAATTAATACTGACCAATAATAGTTAACATACCTGTATGTATATTAATATATTTGAAGGCGGACATTACATGTGATGTGAACTTCCTCAACTTCTGACAACACTGCGTCTATTACACCTTAGCTCATTTCATTAGAAGTTTCGGTCAGTAATTTCCATTTCACTTCACTTCACCTCTCAGGACGGCCGCCCGGGCAACACTGCCTCGTAATGTAAACCCTCCCCCCTTTCCCTCCCCCCTTTCCCTCCCCCCATCATTTGGAAGCACCTACTGGCTTCCTCACTGGCATGTTGATAGTTTTTTGACTTGACAAGTCATATCAACACTTCATATTTATATTACATTATAAAAACATTATTACACCCTTCAGATTTTACATTCAGAAGAAGAGTTCAATGTCATAATAATAATAATAATAATAATAATAATAATAATAATAAGAAGAAGAAGAAGAAGAAGAAGAAGAAGAAGAAGAAGAAGAAGAAGAAGAAGAAGACGTCTTTATTTACTACAGGTACATGTACAAGGTATACAGACCATAGCTGACATCAGTGACATACTACTATATAGAAAGCCGCTTGTTATGCTGAACATTTCCCGAAAATTAGGTCAGTTTTGTCCCAGGATGCGACCCACACCAGTCAATTAACACTCAGGTACCCACTTTACTGATGAGTGAACATAGACAACCGGTGTAAAGAAACACGTCCAATGTTTCCACCCCTTCACCGGGAATCGAACCCGGACCCTCACCGTGTGAAGCGAGAGCCAATGCCAACAGGCCACGGGGCACCGTTTGAAGCCAAGTGAAGGTGAAGTAACAGAATGGAGACTTATTGCGAGGTGAGACTTACATAATCTTGACGACAGGACAGGCTGGGTCCTCTAGTAGAAGAAAGAATGTAATCATGGAGAGGCAGTGCATGGAGTATGGAGCAATATGGAACAGAATTCTTCTCCAGGATGAGGGACTGACCACCATAAAACTCTCGTTGAGGGAGATGGACTGATTACATCGTCTTGATATCTCTGTTGATTTTTCTGCTTCCCCCATATTCGACTAAAGAACCCTACTGTGTAGGTAAAACATCTCGGAATAAAGATTCCTGTGTGTTGCACATGTCCTTTACTTATCAGCTTGTTGATATTGTATATTATTATCTTCCCTCTAATATTGCTGTCATGCAACACTACAAGTCCTGCCTACATCGCTACAAGTTCTGTCATGCAAAACTACAAGTCCTACCATGCAATACTACAAGTCCTGCCATGCAATGCTACAAGTCCTGCCATGCAATACTACAAGTCCAGTCATACAATACTACAAGTCCAGTTATACAACATTACAAGTCCAGTTATACACTACAAGTTCAGTCATACAACACTACAAATCCTGTCATACATCGCTACAAGTCCTGCCAAGCAATATTACAAGTCCAGTCATACAACATTACAAGTATTGTTATACAACACTACAAGTCCAGTTATACAACATTACAAGTCCAGTTATACAACACTACAAGTTCAGTCATACAACACTACAAATCCTGTCATACATCGCTACAAGTCCTGCCATGCAATATAACAAGTCCAGTCATACAACACTACAAGTTCAGTTATACAACACTACAAGTTCAGTCATACAACACTACAAGTCAAGTCATACAACACTGCAAGTCCTGCCATGCAACACTACAAGTTCTGCCATGCAACACTACAAGTTCAGTCATACAACACTACAAGTTCAGTCATACAACACAACAAGTCCAGTTATACAACACTTCAAGTTCAGTTATACAACGCTACAAGTCCAGTTATACGACACTACAAGTCCTGTCATTCAACACTACAAGTCCAGTCGTACAACACTACAAGACCTGCCATACAACACTACTAGTCCAGTCATACAACACTACAAGTCCAGTCATACAACACAACAAGTCCAGTCATACAACTCTACAAGTCCAGTCGTACAACACTGCAAGACCTGTCATACAACACTACTAGTCCAGTCATACAACACTACAAGTCCAGTCATACAACACAACAAGTCCACCATACCCCCGGCCGGGATTGAACCCGCGGTCATAGAGTCTCAAAACTCCAGCCCGTCGCGCTAACCACTAGACCAGCTAGCCACAATAAGATTCATCCAACTAGGTATATTTCTACACCATAGGAAGGTTAGCACAGGCACCTCTGTGACCACAAATGCAAGTTTTTACAGACGAATCTCCAGCTAGCGTGGCCGTGACGAACTCTAGCTCAAGTCCCTTCACTGCCGTCAACATGACTTAAGAAATCGTAATGACACGATTGCAAATAAACCATACCCCCGGCCGGGATTGAACCCGCGGTCATAGAGTCTCAAAACTCCAGCCCGTCGCGCTAACCACTAGACCAGCTAGCCACAATAAGATTCATCCAACTAGGTATATTTCTACACCATAGGAAGGTTAGCACAGGCACCTCTGTGACCACAAATGCAAGTTTTTACAGACGAATCTCCAGCTAGCGTGGCCGTGACGAACTCTAGCTCAAGTCCCTTCACTGCCGTCAACATGACTTAAGAAATCGTAATGACACGATTGCAAATAAACCATACCCCCGGCCGGGATTGAACCCGCGGTCATAGAGTCTCAAAACTTCAGCCCGTCGCGCTAACCACTAGACCAGCTAGCCACAATAAGATTCATCCAACTAGGTATATTTCTACACCATAGGAAGGTTAGCACAGGCACCTCTGTGACCACAAATGCAAGTTTTTACAGACGAATCTCCAGCTAGCGTGGCCGTGACGAACTCTAGCTCAAGTCCCTTCACTGCCGTCAACATGACTTAAGAAATCGTAATGACACGATTGCAAATAAACCATACCCCCGGCCGGGATTGAACCCGCGGTCATAGAGTCTCAAAACTCCAGCCCGTCGCGCTAACCACTAGACCAGCTGGAGTTTTGAGACTCTATGACCGCGGGTTCAATCCCGGCCGGGGGTATGGTTTATTTGCAATCGTGTCATTACGATTTCTTAAGTCATGTTGACGGCAGTGAAGGGACTTGAGCTAGAGTTCGTCACGGCCACGCTAGCTGGAGATTCGTCTGTAAAAACTTGCATTTGTGGTCACAGAGGTGCCTGTGCTAACCTTCCTATGGTGTAGAAATATACCTAGTTGGATGAATCTTATTGTGGCTAGCTGGTCTAGTGGTTAGCGCGACGGGCTGGAGTTTTGAGACTCTATGACCGCGGGTTCAATCCCGGCCGGGGGTATGGTTTATTTGCAATCGTGTCATTACGATTTCTTAAGTCATGTTGACGGCAGTGAAGGGACTTGAGCTAGAGTTCGTCACGGCCACGCTAGCTGGAGATTCGTCTGTAAAAACTTGCATTTGTGGTCACAGAGGTGCCTGTGCTAACCTTCCTATGGTGTAGAAATATACCTAGTTGGATGAATCTTATTGTGGCTAGCTGGTCTAGTGGTTAGCGCGACGGGCTGGAGTTTTGAGACTCTATGACCGCGGGTTCAATCCCGGCCGGGGGTATGGTTTATTTGCAATCGTGTCATTACGATTTCTTAAGTCATGTTGACGGCAGTGAAGGGACTTGAGCTAGAGTTCGTCACGGCCACGCTAGCTGGAGATTCGTCTGTAAAAACTTGCATTTGTGGTCACAGAGGTGCCTGTGCTAACCTTCCTATGGTGTAGAAATATACCTAGTTGGATGAATCTTATTGTGGCTAGCTGGTCTAGTGGTTAGCGCGACGGGCTGGAGTTTTGAGACTCTATGACCGCGGGTTCAATCCCGGCCGGGGGTATGGTTTATTTGCAATCGTGTCATTACGATTTCTTAAGTCAAGTCACAACAAGTCCAGTCATACAACTCTACAAGTCCTGCCATACAACACTACAAGTCCTGTCAAACAACTTTATAAGTAACATTACTCACTAGGATTTACAATTTCTCTTAAGAATTACATTTATTCAACAATGTTTCGTTAGATTAATCTATTATTTACTTGTAGAAAAATTATAATTAAAACATCAATTTGGTATGAGCAAAAACCAAATTTATTTAAAATTTGTATTAAAATAACTGTTTTGGTTCCACAGATAATGAGTTACTTATTAAGACATGATTAATTAGTGTTAATGAACTGTAATTATTGTTAAACATTATATTGGAACACAATGTTTTCCCTTATTAATGTATTCTCTCAGCAGTTATTTGCGAATACAGGTAATATCTGCACTTATTATATCAACGGTAGGGAAATTAATTTATGGTTTTAGAATATGTTAACAGGTTAAATATATGTCATGTTAACTCTGCTAACAGCGTTAATTACACACCAGTACTTGCCGATATTAGCTGTCATCTCTGACCATATTCATCAGAAAAATATTAAAAACACTGCATAAGTCACTGTCTTGTTATTCTTGCGAGGACTTCAAGAGATTGTGACTCGATGTAAAATATTGATAAGTGTTAAGACACAGTGGGTGCTTATTGTTGTACAGTCTGGCCTCGCTTTACAGCGCTTCGTTTTACGGCGTTTCGCTGATGAAGTGGTTTTCACTTATACCCATTCTTCATTGATTTAGACTTCCTACAATAAATGTATTCATCACTCACTGTAAGCAAAGGGCAAAAATATTATATTTAATGTGTGTACTGTATATATATTTTTAGGGCACAGCTCTATTACTCATATAATATACGATAGCACAAACATGTTATCAGGCGTTTATGAGCATGTGAAAGTGAGGAAAAAAAGTTAAAAAGGCGTTTCACTTTACGGCGGTAGCCTGCAACATAACCTGCTATATAAGTGGGGCCCTTCTGTATATTCAAACTTCATTACAAGAAAATTTAATACATACAAAGATATTTTGATAAAATGTTTATTAATATTAACAATTTTTAGAAGAACTTAATAGATACAAATAAGTTGAAATAAATTTCTGTAATAAATCATCATATTCTCTCTTACAAAATGTCAAAACTTTAATTCTACGAACTATAGAATGGTAGTGAAGAGAAGCACATTTCTTCGCCTTAAATTTCGTATTTTATCGATTCTTTATTGTTCTTAGAAATTTCTTTGAAGGTTTCGAGGAAAGAATATATCACAGCAGCTCCAGAACAAAGTGGAGACTTCTCTGTATCACCTCCAAAATATGCTGCTATACGACCATCACGAACCGTATTGTTATCTTGTATACACATCCGCTGGAACACGGACTGGATCTTTTCCAGCAGAGGTTTTTTTCTCCAACTAAGGTTCTTTATTGTTTCTTCCAGTTCCAGGAAAAATGCATTTTTGAGTGAAAACCCACCAGGAGGCTTAATACGGAATTGTCTAGCATCCCAGTAAGTAAACTGTTTTTTTATCTGTCTTGGTACCCAGCCTTCCACCTTGAGGGAAGCCAACACCATCTTGCAGGCCAGAAATACCAGGCGATGGTCCTCTGGCAGCGTTTTCATGATATGATTCTCAGCAATAGCGAAAGAAAATCTCCATTCATTCTCTCCAATTGAGCTGAGAAACACATTGTTGATATTTGGGCTTAAGAGCTTTGGTTTTGAGAGATTATCTGGCCACTTTGCTGGTATAGTGAGAACAATGTCGATATCCACCAACAAAAGTGGGTATTGCCTGCCTGACCACGTTAAACTTAAACCAACGCCTACCTGTGTTTTCTTCAAACCCGGTAAGACGGGGGCAAGTTGTTTATTCTCAAAATTCATATTAATGAGACATTGTTTTACCTCATTATAAAATGTGTCTTGTATATATGAACTGTGAATCAGGTATTTCTTACCCTCGTTATTGGCAGATACAATGATATTTCTTAAAGAATATTTCTCATTTGAGTCTTCTAGTTTTAAAGAAAAATCTCCATCAGAAAGACAACTTATTCTCTTCAGTGTAATGTTTACATCATATTCGTCTGGACAGTAAAGACGAACATTGTCTGAGGAGCTGCCAAGTAATTGTAGTTCACCTTCGAACAACGTATTTCTCTTAACTACTTCATTGTGGATCTCCGTCAACAGTTGCTGAACGGCTTGTTTAACCTCCCTAGTTTCTCCCTCTGTAAAGTTTACGTGAGCTTCTTTCACTGTTTCATGTATTCCTTTGCTTTGCCATATTTCTTTGAGGTGTTCAAAATGAAGTTTTATTAACATTTCCTCCGTGTTTTGCTCTTGTAACTTGTTTGTATGACATTTCTCAATATTTAACTTATACTGGCTCATGTAGGTTTTGAAATCTTCCCAAACAGATTCAGGAGAGCGACCCATGATATTCTTTTCCTTCTGAACCTCTTGTACGTTTAGGAATTCCCCCATTGTTCGGTGGCCCATCATGTAGGCATAGTGTGCTGGAGTATTGCCACACTTGTCCTTGACAGTGCAAGATGCTCCCAAGTTGAGAAGGTAGGTTACGGCAGACATGTTGTTCCTTGCTGCAGCGTGATGCAGCGGCTTCGTCTGACACACACAATTAACTTCACTGTTGCCGTCCACATATGCGACACTCACTATGAGATGCATGAAAACAGGAAAGTTTTCTTCACTGCACAAGATAAGAGCTTTTCTAGTTAAACTGTCAATGTGATCAAAAGATTGATCACTGAATTTTTCGATCTTTGAAGACTGAAAGTATTTCTTCAAAACATCTACAAATTCTATGAATATATCTTCATCAGAGGATCGCCTATATGAAGTATCTAATTTACGGGCCACATTGTCAAGCCAGTCATGATGATTTGATGAAGAAACATTAGGTTTTGAATCATTTACCAGACAACTGAATATGGGTTTCCAGAGTAACTTTGGGTCCTTTGCTTCATGTATAAGGAAGAGAACAATAAACAGTAAAATTAAGTTCCTTAACTCTTCTTGCTGAGATTTATTTTTCATTTTCATCTGCAGGTTGTCCAAACAACGATATTCTCTCGCTACACAGTTCTGTGTTGATAAAAGAAAACACTGTTAATGCCAAATATTGAAAACCAAAAAAACAATACTACAATACAATAATATAACAATTACTTCCAATACTTCTGTTAATTCTGCTATCACCATTACTACTACAACAATTACTATTACTAAAGTTACTACTAGTACAACAACAACAACTACTACTACTACTACTACTACTACTACTATACTACTATACTACTACTACTTTCTACTAAATATTTACTACTACTACTACTACTACTACTATTACTACTACTATACTACTACTACTATTACTACTACTATTACTACTACTACTACTACTACTACTACTACTACTACTATTACTACTACTACTACTACTACTATTACTACTACTACTACTACTACTATTACTACTACTACTACTATTACTACTACTACTACTACTACTACTACTACTACTACTACTACTACTACTACTACTATTACTATACTACTACTACTACTACTACTACTATTACTACTACTACAACTACTATTACTACTACTACTACTACTACTACTTATTACTACTACTATTACTACTACTACTTACTACTACTACTATACTACTAGTACTACTTACTATTACTACTACTACTACTACTACTACTACTATTACTACTACTACTACTACTTTACTATCTACTACTACTTTACTACTACTATATACTACTATTACTACTACTACTACTACTACTACTACTTTCTTACTACTACTTTCTACTACTACTACTACTACTCTATACTACTACTACTACTACTACTACTATACTACTACTATACTATTACTACTACTACTACTACTACTACTACTACTACTACTATTACTATTACTACTACTACTACTACTATTACTACTACTACTACTACTACTACTACTATTACTACTACTACTACTACTACTACTACTACTACTACTACTACTACTACTACTACTATACTACTATTACTAACTACTACTACTACTACTACTATTACTACTTACTACTTAATACTATTACTACTACTACTCCTTCAATTTGTGTTACAACAGGTGGGTGCATATACTCACATCTGTATGGGAGTTTATAGACTCGACCCTGAAGCGTCACACATACAGAGTGGTTCATTTTATTTATTATGTACTTCTTTCATTACTACTTCTAATACAAGCAGTAACACTAGCAGCAGTAGTAGTAACACTAGAAGCAGTAGTAGTAACACTAGCAGCAGTAGTAGTGTAACACTGAAGCAGTAGTAGTAACACTAGCAGCAGTAGTAGTAACACTAGCAGCAGTAGTAGTAACACTAGCAGCAGTAGTAGTAACACTAGCAGCAGTAGTAGTAACACTAGCAGCAGTAGTAGTAACACTGCAGCAGTAGTAGTAACACTAGCAGCAGTAGTAACACTAACAGCAGTAGTAGTAACACTAGCAGCAGTAGTAGTAACACTAGCAGCAGTAGTAGTAACACTAGCAGCAGTAGTAACACTAACAGCAGTAGTAGTAACACTAGCAGCAGTAGTAACACCAGCAGCAGTAGTAACACTAGCAGCAGTAGTAGTAACACTAGCAGCATTAAGTTAGTAACACTAGCTGAGCAGTTAGTAGTAACACTAGCAGCAGTAGTAGTAACACTAGCAGCAGTAGTAGTAACACTAGCAGCAGTAGTAGTAACACTAGCAGCAGTAGTAGTAACACTAGCAGCAGTAGTAACACTAGCAGCAGTAATAACACCAGCAGCAGTAGTAACACTAGCTAGACGTGTAGTAGTTAACACTAGCAGCAGTAGTAGTAACACTAGCAGCAGTAGTAGTAACACTAGCAGCAGTAGTATAACACCAGCAGCAGTAGTAACACTAGCAGCAGTAGTAGTAACACTAGCAGCAGTAGTAGTAACACTAGCAGCAGTAGTAGTAACACTAGCAGCAGTAGTAGTAACACTAGCAGCAGTAGTAGTAACACTAGCAGCAGTAGTAGTAACACTAGCAGCAGTAGTAGTAACACTAGCAGCAGTAGTATAGTAACACTAGCAGCGTAGTAGTAACACTAGCAGCAGTAGTAGTAACACTAGCAACAGTAGTAGTAACACTAGCAGCAGTAGTAACACTAGCAGAACTAGTGACACTAGCAGCAGTAGTAACACTAGCAGTAGTAATAGCACTAGCAGCAGTAGTAACACTAGCAGCAGTAGTAACACTAGCAGCAGTAGTAACACTAGCAGCACTAGTAACACTAGCAGCAGTAGTAACACTAGCAGCAGTAGTAACACTAGCAGCAGAAGTAACACTAGCAGCAGTAATAACACTAGCAGCAGTAGTAACACTAGCAGTAGTAGTAACACTAGCAGCAGTAATAACACTAGCAGCAGTAGTAACACTAGCAGCAGCAGTAACACTAGCGGCAGTAGTAACACTAGCAGTAGTAGTAACACTAGCAGCAGTAGTAACACTAGCAGCTTTAGTAACACTAGCAGCAGTAGTAACACTAGCAGCAGTAGTAACACTAGCAGCAGTAGTAACACTAGCAGCAGTAGTAACACTAGCAGCAGTAGTAACACTAGCAGCAGTAGTAACACTAGCAGCAGTAGTAACACTAGCAGCAGCAGTAACACTAGCAGCAGTAGTAACACTAGCAGCAGTAGTAACACTAGCAGCAGTAGTAACACTAGCAGCAGTAGTAACACTAGCAGCAGCAGTAACACTAGCAGCAGTAGTAACACTAGCAGCAGTAGTAACACTAGCAGCAGTAGTAATACTAGCAGCAGTAGTAACACTAGCAGCAGCAGTAACACTAGCAGCAGTAGTAACACTAGCAGCAGTAGTAACACTAGCAGCAGTAGTAACACTAGCAGCAGTAGTAACACTAGCAGCAGCAGTAACACTAGCAGCAGCAGTAACACTAGCAGCAGTAGTAACACTAGCAGCAGTAGTAACACTAGCAGCAGTAATAACACTAGCAGCAGTAGTAACACTAGCAGCAGTAATAACACTAACAGCAGTAGCAACACTAGCAGAAGTAGTACCACTAGCAGCAGTAGTAACACTAGCAGCTGTAAGAACATAACATAAGAACATAAGAATGGAGGAACACTGCAGAAGGCCCACTGGCCCATACAAGGCAGGTCCTTATCAAAACGACCTCTGTAAAGTAAAAGGACAAAAGTGCAACTAATGTGACATTTATTGTAGCAACGTTTCGCTCTCCAGGAGCTTTATCAAGCCATTACAAACATTACATGGACACAGAGGGTATATAAAGGCTCAGAGTGAGGTGAATACTAGTGAGGTACCATTTCGATGTTCACTAGTGGTAGTAGTAGTAGTAGTAGTAGTAGTGGTAGTGACAAAAGCAATTAATTCGTACATGAGTAAAAGGATATAAAAGCTATTACTTGGGTAACATAAAAATAGGTTGGACAAATATAAACTGGAATGAGGCAGGTTGTTTCAGTGTTCACTCTCGTGCTTTGTGTAGTATAACAGGAGAGACTATGTGATGGCAGGGTTTTACTGTTTTCAGGAGGATTCTTGCTAAGACTTCGGAGATGGTGAAGCTGCCGTTGTTTTGTTTAATTGTATTCGAAACAGCGATCAGTGCTGATTCAAGGCACTTGCGTGTGCGGAAATTAGTTTCTTTTATCACTAATTGGGCGTCTCTGAATTTCATAAGATGATTGGTAGAATTTCGGTGTTGTACACAGGCGTTGTTTAAGTTGTCGTTCCTACATGCGTATATGTGTTCATTGAGGCGGGTGTCGAGGTTTCTTGCTGTTTCACCTACGTAGATCTTGTCACAGCCTCCACAGGGTATAGTGTAAACTCCTGCATTGACTGGTTCGTGGTGCTTGGGTTTTGTCCTGGTTAGATCCTTTATTGAAGTGGTAGAAGCGATGGCGACTCTGGTGTTAGCTTGTGAAAGTACTTATGAGACGATTAGTGCAGACCTCTGGTGTTGTGAAAGAATTAAACTTAGTTGGAGCGGTGTTTGATGCGAGGAGAATTGATGATCTGCAAGCTCTTTTCTTTTCTTGCAGTCTTGATGAAAAAAGAAGGCAAATTTTAGACTCAGTGAATGTTATGGTGATGTCTAAGTTACATTCCTCCTTCAAGAAACTCAGACACAATTTTCGGTATGCTCATAGAAAAACCCGATATGATGCCTCTTTGAAGTCTTGGGGTCTCTTTGACTGGAATAGAAGTGTGGTGAGAATAATTTTTAAAGATTCCCATGACACGGCACCTTTCTCGACTTCCTCATTCACAAAGTAGACAACCACCTAAGAATTCAAGTTTAATCGAACCCACACATTAAAATTATCATCACACAGCTTTCTATTCCAGTCAAATACCAAACCAAAGAGGCATCATCATCGGTTATTCCTAAGAGCATTACCGAATTATGTAGTCCTTAGTTTCTTACGAGAGAATGACTATTCATTCACCAAACATCACTGAGTTACAATTTCCTTCTTTTTTCATACAAAGACTGCAAGAAAAGGAGCTCTTCAGATCAACAATTCTCCACGCATCACACCGCTCCAACAAAGTTATAATTCATGCCAACACCAGGTTCACTAAACGTCTCAAAGGCTGTACTTTCACAAGCTAACACCAGAGTCGCCATCGCTTCATACCACTCACAAAGATCTAACCAGGACAAAACCAAGCACCACGGAACCAGTCAATGCAGGTGTTTACACTAATAACCCTGTGGAGGCAGTGACAAGATTCTACGTAGGTGAACCAGCAAGAAGACCACGACGGACCCGCCGTACAATGAACACATATTACTCAATGTAGGAACGACAACTTAAACAAGCGCCTGTGTACAACACCGAAATTTCTACATATCATCTTATGAAGATTCTCAGAGTGACGCCCAATTAGTGATTAAAGAAACTACTTTTTTGCCGCACACTCAAGTCCTTGAAACAGCACTGATCGCTGTTTCGAATACAATTAAACAAAACAACGGCAGCTTCACCATCTCCGAAGTCTTAGC